ATTCGTTACAAAGAACCGTTATGTGAACAAAGTTATAATACCCAGTCCGCACGGGTATGAGAAAATATAAAAATAACTGCCATGTACACTTTGTTTGGAAATGGCGGACGGATTTAAAATTGAATAAATATCGAACAGCTTATTGCTGATTTCCAACTACCAGAAAAATTATCAAGCTCCCGTCACGATACTTCAGTAGCCGGTAAACCGATGATAAAAGAATAGAATCTTATGCAAACAAAATGCGTGGGGAAGAATTACTGAATACCGAATTACCGAGTACCAAGCTCGGTGTGAAGGCCCCTATTTTCAATATCCTGCTTTTCTGTGTCAAATACAATAATTTTACCGAGTAAAATTTTTGAAAAAGTAACTTAATATATAATATCTAGAGAATACGTTAACCGATTGAAGCAAACGATGTATCAGATTATAGGTTATACAATTTAGTATCTCGCGTTCATATGTTATTTTGTCACAACATTTCAAATCGCCGATATATTTTGAAAGAACACTCAAAAAATAATCTTTTCTCATACATACAAATTTTTAGTATCTCGTTAATTCAGTAACCAAGTGAATTAACTTAAAAAGTGACCCGAGAATTATTTCAAACGGTTTGGCTTTTTCATGTCCGTGCTATATTTATAGGGCCATACGTGTAGTTAAACCTCGATTTAGATAGTTCTCAAAATTATAGTTAACGACGTCAATGCGACCTATTCTGGATATGGTATAGTTTGATAGTGAATTGAGTACTTACATATGTAGATTCACTAAATATGAATAAGTGGAGCCACATCCAATTTTAGTATATTATTGAATTAATTTAATTTAATATATCATAAAAATTCCACAAAGTTATTTGATAATTCACCACAGTAGCACAAATAAGAGACACTGAGATAAAACTTAGTAAAATTCCAAGTAATTTTTTTGAAGGTAGCTGAAATAGGTAACGCTCCCGCATTATCTTGCTAATATTTTTAGTTATTTATAATATTATGGAAAAATTTTCGTTGAAGAAAGCTATGGATGCATTTATCGATCGATCGATTGATCGATTAGTAAGACTTACTAAAATAAAGGCCAGATATATAGCTATAGACTCACAATTATTATAATAACGCAATGATGGAATTCCATCATTTACAGGCAAAAATATTTTAAATAAATTTTTTTTTACAAAAATACCTGTTTTGACAACAAAAGTCTATTTTTACATAGTATTCGTAGACTTAAGTATATCAAACCAAGGCATAACAAGGTAGAAGTGATTTCGACATTTCTCTCTTTTGAACTGCGACTATAATGTCAACTCTTAACCCTATACAATTCAAAATTTTAATTTTTTAATTTCAATTTTCAATTTTGAGCTGTGCGACTGATTATAAATACATACATACAAAAATAAAATGAAAAGGAATTACGAGCGGTGCGCTCTGTGCGGCAAGAGCCAGGACAACAAACTTGTGCGTTATTTTAAACCTCCTAATTGTCAAGTGAAGCGACAGCGGTGGGCAAGTAGCTGCGGTGTTCCATTAGGAGACTCTTCGCGTGTGTGCGAAAACCATTTTAGTGGGCAGTGACTTTATTTGTTGCCCATCACAGCCGAGTATTTCCAAGCGAACGCGTTTGTTCCCAGGTGCAGTACCTCTACCATACAATGCCTCAATGCTTAAGTTATCTGAAGTGTCGGCCGTTCCTGAGGTGTCTGTAGGGACGAAGTTGTTGATGAACAGACCCAAACTGAGTAAGTCTGCCATAAACAAGCACGACCGGATCCACGAGTACATTAACATATACATATAAGCAAACTCCATGATACAATTTCCTTCCACTAAATTTACCGCTTTAGATCACCATTTACTGTTATAAATTCGACGTTCTGGTTCTTAACATCCCTTTTCCTTTTTTCATAATGCCATGTGAAAATAGTCGAATTTTTACTTTTCATACATAGCTGGATTTATCATACGGAAATTAAGCATTACTGAATATGAAGAGAAAATCTCCCACTCATATACATGGATAGACCAAATTTCAAATGGTGGTATGATAAAACCTAAACCAGAGTTCCTTGTGGACGTAAAGAAACTGGAAGTAATTTTTAATAAATTTATTGGAAAGGAATTTCGCGTTGCAAAAATTTAATTGCTGATTTATTGAAGTTAAGTTCCGATGTAAATTTAGAAGAAAGAATCAAAATTTTTTTTTTTAATGTCGAATATACTCTAGAATTAAGTATTTGAATAAAAAAATAAATGCTCAAAAACATTGGGCTAATAAAAACAAGAAAATTGCCAAAACGGGTTTATAAATAATTGTGTTTCATTTAGTGTGTAATTTTTAGTAAGTATGCATTTCAACATTTACATACATTAAACGAAAATACAAAAACTAAAATGAAGCCGATTTTAATGTGATTTTAAATATCTCCATATTTACAAAAACTTTCATTTCATAGATATTGAATTTTATCAAATATGGTGCATGCATAACAAAGGGTTAATTTCTTTGTTTACGTTTTTTGACATTACAGTCAGGTATGAGAGAGCTCGACTGAATTGTCACTTCTACCTTGTTGAATATGCCTTGTATCAAACCATGATACAAAAGAGAAGGTAGTTTCAATAAACAACTTTTGACGGATAGTAAAATTTTTTGAAGTTTCATAAATTGTGAGTATTCTCAATGGCCTTGCCCCTTTTATAAAAACAATAAATCGGAGTATTTTCTTTCCCATGTTTATACCAATTTTACACAATTTCAAATCAAAATTATCAGAGCATGGTATTTTTGTGTTCTTTTTTTTTATAATAAAAATCACGAGCGCAATATGTGTTTATGTTTTATATTGAATGCGATTTAATAATCTAATTATTATTATAATATGGGTATTTATGGAAACGCATAAATGCCTCGTAACCGCGTAAACATCGTATATAAATCGATTTTCCATACAAAATTAAGCAAGTTTACGAGGTTTAAATGGTAACGAGGCATTTAGGCGTTTAGATGAATCGCCCTAATATTTTAATTTAATTTTAAATTTACTTTTAAATTTCACATCAGATATTGCAAAAAAAGGCTTTGTGGTAAGCAATTGAATTTGGCTTTTACAGTCCACCCTCCGATAAGCAATTAGCATAAGTATAATTTTGATGACTTTCTTAATGCGTTCGGAAAGCTAGTGTCATCAACCTCATTTTTGAAAGTATGTATTAATTTTCATGCTCTTCATATTCCAAATCTTTGAGTAGACTATGAAATCTTCTGCTTAAAAAAAATATATTACTTGTAATGATCAGAGTAGCATGAATTTGATGAAATGTCATAATTTTATTAAAAGTCAAATGGTTAGCAACAACAACGAATGTCATTGAATGGAACTACCTTCTTTTTTGTATCATGTATCAAACTATTATTTCCTTTTTTGTTTGAGTTCGAAACTCCCATATTTATTTGCATAAGCAGTTTTTCCTACGGTGATGGAAAATAGAGGTTTGCCAATTTTAGCTACCGAAAATGCTCCTATATTTACAATAATGCGCAAACTCAAGCCAATTTGACAAAGCTGAGGGTATATTCGGAATCAGCACCTTAAACACACCCTAGAAATAAGAATACTGTTCTTGCCTTCTTTCGTCTGTAGATCAGCGAATTAATCAATAGAACAATATATATGTTCGTTGAAAAAAGCTAACTTTAAGAGAAACCCTAAACTACAAAACTGCCTGGTTTAATGGTTTAATTCTCTATTTTAAAAACCAAACTGTTTTCCTAAACCTTGAATTCGTAACAAGGATTCGTATTATCTGACCAGTGTGCTTTGTTTCACTTGGTGGTCGATGCGCGGGCTCTTGCGTTTCAAATAAAATGATAATATTTTATAGGCTTGTAATTGGCCATATAAAAATAAGTCGATATACTGATGGAATTATTAATAATCCTAAAAATGTTCTTATTCAATTTAAAGATAAATTGAAGATTCTTGATGAAGGGTCAAATACTGAAAATAAATTAGCTATCATTTTCAATTTAATGATTTAGTTGATTTTTGTGAAATCTGAGCTTTAGGAGATTTAGGAATTATTGAACAATAATTTATTATTCCAAATAAAATAAAAGTATTTGAAAAAATAATAAATAAGCTCTCTTATCACTATTACAAAAGGATTAAATTAATATAAAAATTTCGACCCCTCCTAATGTATATGTATATTTTGTTTTATTTTTAAAATTTGAGGCAACTTTCCAAGGTAAAATTGGAGGATATTTAAATTTTTTGTTATGCCTATCGATAAACAATGTTCTACATAACAACACAAAAAAAAAGTATAAACCCTAAAATAGTACACTGTGCAGCGCATGCACGTGTTTGCAAAATGATGACGAAGTGATTTGGAAAAGGATAGGATAGGAAAAAATCTGCATTTTTGATTAAAGAACACAAAAACAAAATCATTCGATTACTGTCGTAATACAAAAAATGCTAATTTTTTTCAAAAATTTTTTGCCTTAAGATGCTAAATTTTTTAATGTATATAAAATTTGGAAACAATAAAATTTCTATTTCCCTAAAGAACTTAAATTCCAAAAATGAGAGTTGTGCCTCGATATTCTTCAATTCTGGGGGTGGTAGCCGGCAAATTACAAAAATTTGATTTGCCTGTATATTTTTGGACCACTCTAATGTACAATGCGCCTACATTAGAATATACATATAGCCAGTAGTACGTAAAACCAAATTTACGCGATAGGTTTACTTATGAGGTAATACAAATTACAGCTTTTGAAGTATTCATTCATTAATAAAAACCGCATAAATCATAAACCCAAGATGCGCTTAGCCCCCCAACCCGAGGTGAAGCTGTGACGCTTAACTACCGAGTGAGTCAGGTTTCATTGATATACGTATTTGTAGCATTGAGAGTAAAATTTAACGACTGTGACGACTGTGACAAACTGACAGTCACCTGAAGCAAATCAACGCAGCTAATGGAACGTCAGATCAGAAGAATTGGCTGCCTCAATGTCAGTTGAGCTGAAGGTGAGACTGTGTGGCGGACACTTCACACACGCTCCAGATAAGACAATCTAGAAGCTTAAGTATCAATACGCCCGACATATAAATAGATTAAAACTTGCTAGCAAATTGGCATTCAACGACTAGAATCGGTTGAAAGTAAGTCAAAGCGTAGCAACTGAAACCTTACAAATATATAAAGCGGGGTAGATACACTCTTATGCAGAAGCAGAAGTTACCCTCCAAATCGCACACGTTTAAAATAGTGCTTGGATTACAAAAATAAAACTAAAATCATTTAAAATAAGGCTTAGAAGCAAAAGAAGACACAAACCAAAGTGAAGCTCCGGTTGTGTCTGTTCGAAAGTGAAAGTTTTGCAATCAAGCTGAGTCCGTTTATTTAAAACCGGTTAGGAAAATGACGTCGACGCTTAGCAGTCTACTACAGACTTTGGGTCTCAACACCTCATCTAAAAAGGCAGTAGCAACACCACCCAATACAGCGCTGCATAAATCCTTTCCCCAGGAGTCCAGCTACGGCGTTCTTCCACATAGACTCCCCGAAATAACGCTCTCCCTGGTCGCGCAACACGATGAATACACCGACTGTTGGATCGTCATTTACGATCGCGTCTACGATGTCACACAATTTCTGCGCGATCATCCCGGCGGAGAGGATATCATAATGGAGCATGCAGGACGCGATGCTACTCTGGCCTTCCACGGGACTGGTCATTCACAGTCGGCAATCGACCAGCTGGGCGAGTATCTGATTGGTGAACTGCCAGCGAAGGAGCGTATCTTCCGAAATGACAATGCAAAAGTGTTATCTATTGGAGTACCGCAGTGAAAGCGCACAGTAAAATCAAAAGAAAAGTAAGGAGAGGTACACAAGTGAAAGCACTCAGAGGAGAGGGAATAGCAAATCACACCGCATAGCACAAAATTTGTTTGAACTGAGCTTCTATGCAGAATAATGCTAATATTCGAGCTTGGCATCACCATATTCACACATGACAAGTGTGCACTTTTAAACGACCGGCGAGTGAAGCCAAAACCTTATCAGCCAGTGACGACTTACAACTACGCATTAGTTAAACAAATCACACTGAACAAATTATAAAATACAAATTACAGTGAAGGCGAGGTACCGCCTTAAAAATATACTAGATAAGTAAAAGCTTTAAAGATTATATTCACTGATGTACATACATATGTATGTATATAAGGGTGTCCGACAATCCGAATTTTTTATCCAAACCCGGGTTTCGAGTTATTCGAACAACCCAATTTGAAAAAAAAGTCATTTAGTTTTTAAATTCAGAAAAAAACCTAGTTAGAACCGATATTTGCTTTAAATTTTTTTCGTTTGCTTAACGCTTACAGTTAGTAAGAAACGAAAGCCAAATATGGAATACAACGATTAAAATTAGGTATGGCTTTGATTTAAAACTACGTCAACTAAATTGATTAAGTTAAAAGTTACTCGAATTTGGACAAATAGTAAAAAAAACAAATAATAAATACATATATAAAAGTTCAGGGATTAAATGATTTTTTTCTTAGTTGCTAAAAACCTATATTTGGCTTTTTACAAGTATTTTTTAAAACATTTATTTCATTCAACTGTTTGCTCTACGGGTCTTTAATACTTTTTTTTATCTACTTAAATCTTTTCGTGAATCAAACTCCCACCGGAAACAGATGTGGTAGAATATGAATAAAAGTGTTATTGCGAAAAATTACTTTAAACTGCAATTTGCATGGCTTTTTGACCGAGATTTCTTTGACTAATTTTTATTCAACTTATCTATGTGAAAAATGCTCATTATTGCATTTAAATAAAAAGTAAATCGAAATTAAGGGGAAACTAGTGTGGTAATTCTGCGGATATTTTAAATAAACGCACATTTAATAACTTTAGTGTCAACGCTTATCATCTTCTACGTACATAGTTGCATTTTTGCAAGTGCATTAAAGCGAATGGAGCCAAACAAAATGTTCTCTAGTTGATTTCAAAGCACTTTGATTTGTTCCATTTTTAAAATCATACGTATACGATACCAAAAAATGTTTCGAGGTTTCAAGAAAGAACACAATATAATAAATTTACAGTGAATTTTAGTATGCAGTTGTATAAAAATTCCAGATGAAAACTCGTTTTTACGATGACAAAACTCCGGTTTTATCGATATTCCAAAAATCACGATTTCAAAAAGTCTGCCCAAAATTTTTGGGAAAACACCAGCTAAAACCCGTTTGTAAAAACCAAGTCAATCGCCCTATTGTATTTGATCGAACATCGGTTGATCAAACAACAGCACTCAAAAACAGAAATTCCAATCAACTTTTATTTATGTACATACTATACATGCAATTACATGAACCGGAACAACATAGGCACGTGCGCTTGCATTGCTACCATGTTAAACATATTCCTACATTCTATTTAATGCTTCTATATGTGGAAACTTAATAACTTAACTTAGGAACTTAGAACCACTTCAATTAAAGCACCTAACACCAATGACACCCAATAACTTTACAGCTTTCCGCTCTGGGTGGAAATTATTATTCTGTGAAAACTTTAAGTGGATACTTCACATACAATGACGATTCTGAAAGGATAAGTTGAGCACTTTGCTCTAAAACATAATCTTTTGATAAACAAATACATATGATTATCTCTTACTCACAATAATTATAAATTATAAATTATAATTTACTTGCTCGATGTTTATGGAAAAGCCTTTAATGATCTAAAATCGCTTAAGGTGGTAAAACGAAATGATAAAGTAAAAAACTAAAATTATCATTGAATTTTTAATTTTCACTTCACCATTTCATAGAAC